GATTTTTGGATATGTTCTTGGATCAAGTTTGCCAGTGTTTTATTGAGTGTTTTTGCATCAGTGTTCCTGAGGGAGATTGATCTGACTTCTTTTTAGTTATGTCTTTGTGTGATTTTTATATCAGGGTGACTATAGCCTGGTTAAAAAAAAAGAGCTTGGCAGTGTTCCTTCTGTTTCTATTGTGTGAAGCAACTTGAGGAGTATTTGGTATTATCTCTTCTTTCTACTTCTGGTAGACTTCTGCAATGAAATCATCTGGTCCTTGGCTCTTTTGGGTTGGGAGACTTTGGGGGACTGCTTCTATTTCCTTGGGGTTATAGGTCTATTTAAATCGTTTATCTGGTCTTCATTTAATTTTGGTATGTGGTACCTATCCAGCTAATTGTCCATTTCTTTAAAACTTTTCCAATTTTGGAAAGTACATTTTTCAAAACATGACCTAATGATTCTCTGGATTCCCTTAATGTCTGTTGTTATGTCCCTCTTTTCATTTCTGGTTTTATTAATTTGCATATTCTGTCTCTGCCTTTTGGTTGGTTTGGATAAACATTTGTCTATCTTGTTGATTTTCTCAAAGACCCAACTCTTTGTTTCATTGATGTTTTGTATTGTTCTCTTTGTTTCTATTTTGTTGATTTTAGCCCTCAGTTTTATTGTTTCCTGTCATCTACTCCTCTTGGATAAGTCTCCTTCTTTTTGTTCTACAGCTTCCAGATGTGCTGTTAAGTCATTTCTCCATGTACTTTATATAGCCACTTTGATACTCTGAACTTTATTCTTAGCACTGCTTTCATAGACTTCCATTAAGTTTGGATATGCTGTGCTTTTATTTTTCATTGAATTCTAGGAAGTCCTTAAATTCTGTATTTTTCCTTGACTCAGTTGAGTGTTGTTCAATTCCTTGAGTTTGTAATTCTGCAATTAGTGTTGTTGAATTCTGACTTTAAGCCATGATGATCAAATAAGATACATGAGGTTATTCAAGTATTTTTTTATCTGTTGAGATTGTTTTGTTTTTGAGTGTGTGGTCAGCCTTAGAGAAGGGTCCATGAGGTGCTGAGAAGAAGGTATATCCTTTTTTGTTTGAGTGGAATATTCATAATTACCTGTTATGTTGGTTTGAGTCATAATATCTGTTAGTTTTCTTATTTCTCTGTTAAGTTTGTGTCTGGGAGACCTGTTCACTGGTGAAAGTGGGATGTTGAAGTCTCCCACTATTGGTATGTAGTTTGATGTGTTGGGGCATAGATGTTTAGAAATGAGACTTCATCTTGAACGATGTTTCCCATAGTGAATATGAAATTCCTACTCTGTCTCTTTTGATTGATTTTAGGTTGAAGTATATTTTGTTAGATATTAGGGTAACTACATCAGCTCGTTTCTTAAGTATATTCGATTGGAAACTCTTTTCCCAACTCTTTATTCTGAGATTGAAGTGTGTTTCTTTGTATGCAGCAGAATGATGGATCCTGCTTTTGGATTCATTCTCTTAGCCTGTGTCTTTTTATAGGTGAATGAGTTCATTGATATTAAGAGATACTAATGACAAGTGATTGCTAATTCCTGTTATATTTGGTTTTGATGGTGATGGTAATGTTTGGGTGCTTCCCTTCTTTGGGGTTTGCTGTAAGATTATGTATTGCCTGTGTTTTCATGGATGTAGCTACCTTTCTTGGGTGGGAGGTTTCCTTCTAGTACTTTCTGTAGTGATGGATTTGTGGATAGGTGTTGCTTAAATTTGGTCTTGTCATGAAATATCTTGTTTTCTGAAAATATAGTGATTTAAAGTTTTGTTGGATACAGTAGTCTGAGCTGGCATCTGTGGTTTCTTAGTGTCTGCAGAACGTCTATCTAGGACCTTCTGCCTTTTGAGACTTTAATGTTACTTTGTCTTTTTCCTTTACAGCTCTTTATATTCTTTCTTTATTCTGTATGTTTAGTGATTTATTATTATATGTCAAGGGAACCTTTTTTATTCCAGTCTCTGGTGTTCTGAAAGCCTCTTGTACCTTCATAGGCATATCCTTCTTTGGGGTTGGAAAATTTTCTTCAAAGACACTGTTGAATACATTTTCTGTGCCTTTGAACTGGAATTCATTTCCTTCTTCTACCCCTATTATTCTTAGGTTTGATCTTTTCATGATGTCCCAGATTTCCTGGATGTTTTGTGTTAAGAATTTGTTGGATTTAACATTTTCTTTGACTGGTGAATCTATTCCCTCTATTGTACCCTCAATGCCTGAGATTCTCTCTTCTGTCTCTTCCACTCTGTTGGTTATGCTTGTATATGTAGTTCCTTTTTGCTCACCCAGATTTTCCATTTCCAAAATTCCCTCAGTTTGTATTTTCTTTATTGTCTCTATTTCAATTTTCAACTCTCAGATTCTTTCCTTCACTTGTTTGGGTTTTCTTGGCTTTCTTTAAGGGATTTATTGAGTTCTTCCAGTGTGCGTGTGTGTGTGTGTGTGTGTGTGTGTGTGTGTGTGTGTGTGTGTGTGTGTGTTTTCTGCCATTTCTTTAAGGGAATATTTCATTTCCTCTTTAAGGGCCTCTATCATCTTCGTAAAGTTATTTAAGGTTGTTTCCTTCTGTATCTATGTTGGGCTATCCAGATCTTGCTGAGTTATGACTACTAACTAGTTTCTGATGTTTCCATAATGCTCTTTCTGTTGTTGAATGTATTCTTACACTGCCATCTAGCCATCTCTTCCTCCAATCTGTACAGGTGGGACCTGTTGCTCTGTTGGTTGCTGCTCTTCCAGATACAGTTGCAGTCTCTTCCTCTAGGTGCAGTTGTCAACTATGGCTCTAGTGATCACTGTCCCTTCAGGTGCAGGCAGAACCAGTAGGTTGGGTGGTCACTTCTTCTCTAAAGACAGGCAGAGCCAGTGGTCAGGTGGTCACTGTCCCTCCAAGTGCAGCTGGAGCTTGTGTGTTGGGTGATTGCTATCTCTCCAGGTGCAAGCAGAGCCAATGGGTCAGGTGGTCACTGGTGTAGTGGCAGGGCACACTTGGAGGGAGAGGCTACTGCTGCCTGGTAGCTGGTGGTTCCATGGGCCTAATAAGTTTTATCATTGATACACAATATTTTATTTATAGCTGATGATTTCATAAAACAAACACTATATACTATAAAGATAAATAGGTGGGATTTTTACTCCTTGTAAAGAATTTACTGGCTCAATGTTCACAGGTTATATCCTATTAGACTCCTAGAAAATCTTTTGCTTACCAATGAACTTTCTCAAACTAATGTTACTTTACCTTTTCGTTTAGATTTAGTTCAGGATGAACTGTGACACATATACACATACAGATTCTAGCAATTACTGAGAAAATTGATTCTTTGCATGGTCAATTTTTAATGTCTTAACTTAGGGATAAATACACACCAAAATAACTTCATTAAAATTTTCAATGTGTTCCTTTGCTTATTAGCAAGAGGGATATTAGGGAAATAAAAAACACAGAAATAATATTCTGGAGCTCTCAATGAAAAAAAATGGTGTTGGCTCAAAAAATTGTCAAATATCATCATCTGCATTCTTTATTGATACAGTGTTGCCATAATCTTCCAAGTAGGTGGTTTTAAATGACAGCTAGGGACACACTGTGTAGAGATCATCAGAAATTCTGAGGAATTTTGCTTCCACATGTTTCCTATCCCTGACAGATAACATTAAATAAGTGAAAATATTGGATCAATTCCTAATTAAGCATAACAATACTAGTATATATTTATTATTTGGGTGATATGTAATAAGAGACATGTCAGATATAGGTAATATCTGTTTAAAAATCATTATAAGCTACAATCTGTACCAGGTTTTTTTACTTTTAGGCCACCAACCATCTCAAATATCATGACAGAGACTTATTATTCATTTTGAATGCTCAACCTATCTTAGGCTCATTTCTGTTTCTCTCCTTGAACTTAATCTGTTCCTTTTAAATCTTTTGCCTCACTTTTTTTTTTTTAATTTTCTGTATATCTTACTTTGAATCCTTCTTGTGTCTGATAGCTGGAGACTGCCAGGCTGACCCCAGGTGTTTTCCTTTTTCTCTCCTCTCTTTTTCTCTTGTTATTCTTCCTTCTCTCCAGCCTAGATTTCTCATCCTATTTATTCTCTCTGCCTGCCAGCCTCAACTATCCTCATTCTGCCTAGATATTGACCATTCAGGCTTTTATTAGACCAATCAGGTGATTTTGGCAGGCAAGGTAAAGCAGATGCAACACATCTTTACAAATTAACCATAGTCCTTACATTGTTAGACAAATGCTTTGTAAAATTAACAAATATAACACAACTTTACACATTTAAAGTAATACTTTGTAGCATAAACAAATGTAACGCACCCACCTTTGACCCAATAATATTCCACAACAGCCATCCGATCTAAAAATAAACTTTAAATGTATATACAGAATTGATATCATTCACAAACCTCTGTGTTGTTGTTATCCTCAGAGATAGGACTTAACACCAACTCCATGAACTAATATGAACATTTGCCTTACTTGGGGGAATTTTTGTTGGTATGGAAAGAGATATTAAGTGCATTTTGAAGTATGGAAACATTTTCTGTACACAAGTATTTTGTCAGTCAAACGCTGTCTTATACTTTGCTGCTATAACACTCACTAAAAATTCCTTGTATGTGCATTTACATCAGCATTTTTATTAGGTTAATTCCTTTTTAGTGGAGGTCAACTCTGTTTTGTAAATCTCTCTTAATGTAACAAATGAAACACTCAAGTTTCTTCACAAAATATAACAGAAATAATTAGGTAAGAGTGACTATCTTGTCTCATTATTTCCTCCAAGTACCTTGTGTGCTACTAACTTTTACTCTTCAAGAATATTGAATTCAGCTAATTATAATTGTCACAGGCAGGATGTGTTCTTTAAATCAGAGTGCTTCATCAGTTTTGGTGTAACAGTGAACCCAAGTGAATGAATGTACTTCAGTTTTCAATGAATGAGTTTTATAACTTCAAGATGAATATAAAGATGAAAATAGAGGCCATCTCCGGTTCGGTATTGACTGTATAATATGAGAATTTAAAGTTAAGTAAATGGAGCAGTACTGTTATCCAGTTCCACATTTTACACTCATGACTACTGGGATCCTACATTAAGCATTTTGAAACATCCTCAAGAGTTCAGTTCCTAGTATGTAAAAATGGATCACAATTTTCTTTTCTACAAAACAAAAACAAAAAACATAAAGGCATTATAGCAAGATTCCAGTATGCCCAATACTATAATTATGTTTGTATCTATTGATCTGTTATTATCAGTAATAATAGGTAGTGATTTTTTAAAAACAAAATGTTTACAATTCATTAGATAATTCATTGACAATCATTTTATTTCCACAATTCTGGAAGCTAGCTAATATTTTCATATTAATAATTAAGGGCGTTCAGATTCAGACAAATTATACTACTTACCCAAATTTTGATTTGTTGATTCTAGAGAAAGATCACATTACTCTGAATGGATATTTTCATTAAAGCATACTGTTGATCCCCCTTACTAGCCGCCTACATGTTCAGGAACTCACTAGCCAACAGATAGTATCTAATGTTTTCTCTAAGCCTTAATGTATTAAGCATTCCCTAAGGAAATTTTTAGAACTATTTCTGAGCTTCGTTCTACTTCTCAAATGTACTTATTCAGTAAATCTTCTGTTAGGGTTGAAGTATATTCATGTTAACAATAACCAGGTGACTCTTCATGCAAGTGCCCCACTGTAGAAAAATGCCATATACAGACTATTTCTGATGAACCATGGTCTAGTTGAAATATTCTCCTGTTTCATCAAACTCCATGAGTTTGGAAAAACTAGAATAAAACGAATGTTAGATTTTTATTTGGTGTGTTTTCCAAAAAGTATTTCATTTTTTCATGTTAATTACAAAGGCTAAATTTTAACATGTGAAAGTTCCACTACCTAAAATCTGTGTGTGTGTGTGTGTGTGTGTGTGTGTGTGTGTGTGTGTGTGTGTGTGTGTGTGTGTGTTATTCTGCTTTTGGTAAACTCCAAAATGTATAATGCAACAGACATGGTACACTGCATATAATATAAAATCTATAATGAAAAATAAATTTGTTGAGAATTTAACAAAATAAAAACGAACTTCTGTGTTGGTTATGTTCTCCAAAATACCTGGAAAATAAATATCTCATAAAAGTTTTCACAGATGCAAAATTCTAACATATAAGGTAGTTTATCTTTTTGGTAAGCTTCTAAATTTCCCAGTGAACATCAACAAAATTTTGGAACTGACTGAATTTTGAAAAATCTCTTTAAACCAGATATGCTTTTGCTTCTCTTGTTTCACTTCAATTCATATTAGAAGTGGGTTTTTTTATACAATTAAGAAAGTCACTTTAACTTAGTGATTATTTAGACTCCTAGTATACAAATATTCAGCAACTATCATGTCTTCATTGATATATCAATTCATACCACATAATTTCCCAATCATTATAATTAGATATGTTAAAATCTCCACTGATAAACATTTAAAGATAGTGTTCATGAAAAGGATTTCATGATGATCTACAAGCACAAACTTCATCTCTTAAGACCAGAATTCAGTAGTTTGTACAGTAGAAGCTATTAAATAAAGAGACGAGCAGTCAAGATTTTATTACCATCATGGGTCGTTTTTTTATTTTTGATATTGTTCTTTTTAATAATCAGAGTGACTTTGGGTAAAGAGACACTTTAATTTTGTGGACTTTGGTTTCTTCCAAAGTGGAATAATTTTAAAGTTCCTTACAGGTGCCACAAATATTCATTCAAAAATAAAATAATGTAAGATAAACTGATATTAGATAGGATGGTCAGGGAAATTCTTCCTGATACTGTGACATTTGAGCAGAGGACTGAAAGAAGACATGGAGAATATCATGGATATAGGTAACCACAAGAATCAGGTTGATATATCAAGTGAATAATTCTAAAATGAAAGACCTATTAACCACATTACAAATATTATTAATCAGTAGCCTAAACCAAAAGATGGAGAAAAAGCATGTTGATGAATGATATTCATATAGTAATCTCATATTCATCAAATTAATATTTCCTAATTTTCCATTTTTATTGTTGGCTACTATTATATGTATAGGAAACAAAGAGAATAAGAAATTTCAGCACTTTGATTCTATTTTTGTTTACATGGTAGTTCTGTTAGAAATTGATGAACAACCATTGCTGTGAATACATCTTTGTTAAAAGTTAAAAGAAGTGTTAAAAGTAAATTAACACATAGTAGATAATCAATATCTACACTAAAATACTTCAAAATGTATGAACAAATCCATTTTTAATACTAGTTTTATTAATTTTAGAGATTATCATCTACCAACTAAATACTTCTGAGAGTTTCCTTTAAAACAGGAGAAGCAAACAGGAAAGGTCAGCATGATCATATTTAAATTGGCATTGTTGTCTTTTTCATTGTTGATATTATGGTTATCATTGCTGAAAACAGTTATCACAGCATTATGTTCATATTTTCTTTTTAGAAGTTAGAGGGGCACCTTTTTCTCTGTTAAAAACTTTGCTTCCACCTTTTTAAGTGACAAATGCTCATATGATACCCAAATAGACTGACAGGAGAGAGATTAAGTTGGTGACAACTTGTTAAGATGTTTTGTGTGTGTGTGTGTGTGTGAGAGAGAGAGACAGAGAGAGAGTGTGTGTGTGTGTGTGTGTGTTTTCCAGTCAAAATATGCTATTTTAACTAGGAATTATATTTTACATACATCTTGTATTTCTATTTTTATAATGATTTATGATAGATGCATGCATCTCTAAACACTGCATGGTTTGTCCTTTAAAAAATGTGAAATATGGGACCACTAAAAATATTTTATCACTTGGTTTATACTGCCAAATATTTATCACAATTTATAATAATATTGTTTTCAATAATAAAGCTCATACTAGAATTTTTTAATCAAATATAATTTAACTACTTTGTAGCAAACTCGATGACAATGAACAATTATGTTTTGTTATTGATTTGTTTTTTAAGATAGGTTTTCTCTGTTGCTTTGGAGCCTGTCCTGGAACTAGCTCTGTAGGCCAGGCTAGCCTTGAACTCACAGAGATCTGCTGCCTTGGCCTCGGGAGTGCTGGGATTGAAGGCATGTCCCACCAACTGCCAGCAGCTAGCCACGAGCTTCTTACCTCTACCTCCTGCCGAATGAGCTGATTCTATCTCCAGGAGCTCTCACCAAGTTCTTACTATAACTTCTCCTCAGCGTGGCTGGAGAATTACTTTTATAACCTTCTAGTGCTGGGGGTTAAAGGTGTGAGCTTTAATTCTCTTTTAAACAGATTCAATCTTGTGTAATCTTGGACTCACAGATCAGTCTGTCTTTTAATCCCAAATCCTGGGATTAAAGGTGTGTACCACCACCTCCTAGGATGAAAGGTGTGTGCCTGGCTTCTATGGCTTGTGGCTGACTTTATTTTCTGAATATTCAGGCAAGCTTGATAATCATAAATAATATATCGCTACAGATTAGAGTTAGGTTTAATGTTAAGGATAGGTTATGGTTATGGTTATGGTCAGGTTAAAGTCAGGATTGTCATTAATGTTTAGCTTTAAGTGTTAAGATTAGAGTTAGGAGCCTTGTTAGGGTTATTGTCTGGTTAGGGGGTTTGGGTTACACTTAGATGTCTGTGTTATGGTCAGCATCAGAGTCAGAGTTAGATTTAAGTTATATTTGGTTAGGGTTTAGTTAGGGTTAAAATTCAGCATCATGAGTTAGGGTAGGTATATGGTTAGGGTCAGGTGTAGGATTTAGGGTTAGGGTTGTTTTGTTTAAGGATAAGGTATAGGGTCAGGTTCAAGGTTAAAAACAGGATTATTAGGATTGGGTTTAGGTTAAGGTTAGTGGGAGGGTTAAGTTAGTTAAGGTTAGGGTAGAGAGGCATTGGGTTAGAGTTAGGGTTACTTTTATTGTTGGGGTTAGCATTGAGTTAGTGCTAAGGGATTAGGAATATGTATTTGAGTTAGGGTTAGTGTCATTGTTGCTAGGGTTAAGGGTTAGGGTAAAAGTTTTGGATTAAGATTGGGGTGGGTTATGACTAGTGTAAAGGTTGGGGTTGTAAGGGTTAGGGAAAAATATAATAGATGTCGATTTATTTTGTCAGTGCATATTTAATTAAACACCAATATGATTAGTCTTCATTATTTCAAATTATCGATTTAGATAATTCAGAATGGAATGACCTAAATCTAATCTTGACATTATTTAAAAGGGATTAGTTGTTATAGGTAAATTCATAGTAGGAAACCTATTTCAAAGTAACTCTAAAAGTTTGAAACTGTAAATTACAAACCCCACAAAAAATTTTAAAATTATTTTTGAAAATCTAATGTAGGAAGGCTAGAAAGATTCTTAGTGGTTAAGAATACTTGCTATTTTGTAAAGGAACCAGAATCACCCCCTGGGACTCACATGGTGGCTCACAACCATCAGTAACTCCAGTTCCAAAGAAACCAGACACCCTCTGGTGACCACCATGGGCACCAAGAGTGCATTGGTGTTCATACATATAGGAAGGCAAACACTAATATACATATAAAATAAAGATAAACATGTCTTTCAGAAATCTAGTACAGTTGGTAAAATATTTGCCTGCTATGCTTAATTCCTCATGTTCAATCTTCAGCAATACAGGTAATCCTAGCTCTTAAAAAATTAAGATCATCCATATCTATATATCCACTCCAGAGTCAGCCTAGATTATATGAGGCAATTTTTCAAAGTCTCAAAAGTAAATTCTGTTTTATACTGTCAGTAATGTAATATATAAGTGTCTTCTACATAACACTGACTTAGATATGTAAAAGCTAGATGCAGAAGGGTATATTTGAAGTTGTACACATCTGAGAATTTAGCTGACTTTGTTTATTTATTTTGTTTTGGCATTGTTCAGAAGTAGCTTTGATATCTTGAACATGTTATTTACTGTAATGTTTTTTTTTGTTTTCTCTACCTATATAATGAAGGATTTATAATATTTCAGGACCCCCTTTTAGCACATTCTATGGCCTAAAACACCTAAATACACAATTTATACTATTAATTTAAATTACTTCCCGTATGTATTCTGAAGTTATCAAAATACAAACAACACTGGAGTTTAATTATTCAGCAGAAATGTTGCCCTTGACCCTACTTCTATCACACATCAGGACTCCACATTTTCTAACTTCCTTGGGTTGGAGTTTTCCTTCCAGTACTTTATGTAGAGCTGGGTTTGTGACTATTTATCACCAAAACCCCAAAACCCAATCAACTTGACACTCAAGTGACTGAAACCTTTGCTGGGTATAGCAGTCTGGGCTGGCATTTGTGGTCTCTTAGTGTCTGTAGAACATCTATTCAGGCCTCTAGTTTCAGCGTTTCCATTGAGAAGTCAGGTATAATTCTGATAGGTCTCCCTTTTTATGTTACTTGGCCTTTTTCCTTTATAGCTCTTAATAGCGCCTGAGATTCTCTCTTCCATCTCTTGTATTCTGTTGGTTATGCTTGCATCTATAGTTGCTAATCATTTACCAAGATTTTGTATTTCCAGGATTCCCTAAGATTGTGTTTTCTTTATTGCCTCTATTTTACCTTTCAGGTCTTGAACTGTTTGAATTGTTTCCTTCACCTGTTTGATTGTTTGGTTTTATTATTGTTGTTGTTGTTGTTGTTTTGTTTTGTTTTGTTTTGTTTTTTTCTTGGCTTTCCTTGCTTTAAGAGATTTGTTGATTTCTTGCATTTTTTTTTATTTTTATTATTTATTTATTTATTTATTTTATTTTTTTTTTTTTGGTTTGTCCTTTCCTGCATTTCTTCCATTTTTTTGTATTTTCCTCCATTTCTTTAAGGGATTTTCTCATTTCCTCTTTAAGGTCCTCTGTCATCTTCAAAAAGTTATTTTTAAAGTCATTTCCTTGTGATTCATCTGCATTGGGGTGTTGCTGGTGTAGAACCTCTAGTCTCTGCTGGTATCCTATTACTCATTATGTTGTTGAATGTGTTCCTATACTGTCATCTACCCATCTCTTCTTCCAGTGGGTGCAGGTGAGACATCGCCTCTCCTGGTGGGGTGGGGCCAAGGCTTCAATGGCCACAGATGTGGTGCTGGATGGTTTGGGGCTACGCCCAGGTATCTCCCATTATGCATTTTTTGACAACCTTAATTCTTAACATTAAACTATGACTTTTCAACATAATTCCGTGTGAACACCCCATAAGGTAACATGCAACTACCCTCATTCTATATGATTCTTCCTGTTAGTCTGTAGGAAAATTTCTTTTATTACTGAAATAATCAAATAGAAGGTATCAAAATAAGGAAATACTATTAATGTCAGTAAATTAATGTAGAGATAAAGTTATAATCACTTTGTTCCTAACTCTGGTGAAAGAGACAATAAGAAACAGTGAGATCACAATTTGTTTAATCATTATTATATTGCCATGTCTTGTTTTTATTTTAATATTTCTTATTTCCCAGTTTCAATACTACAATCTTAGACCAACATGGATTAATAGACTGTATTATGAAATGTGTCTATAGGCCTGAGAATTTCCATTTAACAGGTATTTCGTCATTAGGAGAGTTTGTACAGACTTCCTTAATAACCCCTATTATCATTCTTTAATTTATCATTGATTATATTTTCTGTGTTTTTACTTTATATTCTGAAAATATTTTATTTAAAAGTGATATGTTGTATTTTGTGATTTAAATTTTAGTAATATAAGAATGCTAGTATTAATTGATATCCACTGATGAATACTTCTTGACAAAGTATTTTTAAAATGGTACATATTTGTAACTAATATACACTGGATATTCTGACTACAACTTTGATATCTCAGCTGATTGTCATTCAGGAGCACTTTAATCTAAGTGTTCCTGTCTGGTGACTGTAAAGAAGGATCTTAAATATTTAATTACTTTTGACAACAATAGATAAGATAGTTAAATTTTCCTGGAGCTAGAGAAATCAATATATAACACTTATTTTATGGTGGTTTGTAGGAATTGAGTTTGTTGAAATTCACAGCAGTATTTAATAGAGAGATGTACGTAAACTGACTTCTAAAGAAATTAGTGCTAAAATAATCATGTACATAAACTATTCCTTTATAATTCATCTCAGAAGGGGATATGCACAGCAACCTGGAATAACTAATTTTCACTTCATCTTTTAAAAGATACTTTATAGTACTGATTGTTCTTCTTTTGCTACAGTTATAGGAATAAAGCTGAGGAAGGGAAGGGTGGTGGTGTGGTGAGTGGGGTCCCAAGGTAAGGGACCATATGGGAGACCATAGCAGGTTCCATGGCAGGGGAGCATGACCGAGGTGGAGGAAATAACATGCCAGGCAGATAGAGCTTAAATGAGGAGTTTATTTAGAAAGGGTAGTGAGGGGGAATGGAAAAGACATAGAGGCACCAGGAACTGGAGAGAGGAGAGGAGGGGAGGGGGAGAGGAGGGGAAGGGAGGTAAGGAGAATGAGAAGAGAAGAGCTTGAAGGCAAAAGAGAGAGGAAAGGGGAAAGCAAAAGAGAGCATAAGTGGGCAGAGAACTGAATTTTATACCTACCTGCAGACTAGTACTCATGGAACCCTGGGCTGACCAGAGTACTGCCTGAGTGCATTCTGCCGGATGACAAGGGCATGGCATCATAATGCCTGAATCCTTAAACTGATAATGCAGACTTTCAGAATCATAATGGTATGGTTTCCAATTTGATCACTTAACACCTTGCTACCATAAACAAATTAGTTTATCACTGTACTTAATACCTATAGCACAAGGATAATAATAGTGTCTACTTCATAGAGATTCTCTGAGGATTAAATGAGCCATTATGTGCAAAGCACTTGAATAGCATCCACTCAGTTCTGGTTATGTATTATCCAGTCTATTCTACATCTTTATGTTGAGATATTGGCTGGCTTAATTTTGTACAAGTCATGTGGTTGCAGTCCCAATTAACTCTTGAGTTCATATGTGCAGTTGTGCTCTCATGCCTTGAAAATACTGTTTTGATAACATCCCTCTGGCTCTTACAATCTTTTTATCCCTCTTCTATGATGATTTATGAGCATTTGGGGACAGAGTGTAATATAGATATCCCATGTAGGGCTGAGCAGTCCACGGTCTCTTATCCTCTATGTGTTGCCTACTTGTGGATCTCTGCTAATTATCATTTACAGCTAAAGAAGCTTCCCTCAAGAAAGTTGAGAGATATACTAATATATGGGTATAAAAACAAGAACTTAGAAGCGAGTTTATTATTATGTCCATTTATCAGAATAAGACAAGGTTCTTTCCTATGGACTATGACATGAACCATGGATTTTTGTCTCAGTCAATGGTATCAGGCATGGACTCTATCATGTGGAGTGGGCTTTAAAATAGAATCAGAAAGTGGCTGTCACTCCTATTACATTTGCACTACTATTGCACCATTGTACCAGTGGGTGTATCTCACCAGGGATATGTTGCTCATAGGGATTACAGCTTGATAAAACCATTGGTAACTTCTCTCACACAGTAGTATGCAAAGAACCTTCAAGAACTGTAAAAGACTTCTGGAATAGTCTGAACTAGATTTCTCCAAGTCCCATAACTCAGGTGTGTCTTCAGGAACAAGGTCTTAACTCAACAAGTTCTGGAGGGTAAACAAGAACAATACAATAGTATGTCATTTAGAGATGGACCATACTGACAAATAATTTGAAAATAGGCAATCCATACCTGGAACTGAACTTTATCTTTGGTAACTTATGCCTCTCTCCTGTTATAAGGTAATCATTTAAACTCTTTTTATGTGTGTACATATTTTAGGAAGCTTCCACCGTAGTAGGTTTCTATATGGCATTTTCAAAGGCCTTTAGTGCTGGTTATCCTTTCCCATACTCTTCCTCTATCCTGCATTCCTATCCCCCACCCCATATCCCTTACAGTCCCATTATGTACCTTTCTCCCTTCATCCTTTGAGTTCCAGTAGAAAGAGTGATAATGGAACAGAAAAAAACTAAAGTTATTAAGCACTGAGAGCCTTTTTTATGATATCTATTCTATATTTGTTTCTCTTTATCCGGGTATCATACAGTAAATATAGTTTACAAAACTGGCAACATATCTACTTACACAATACATGCTAACCTGTAGCCATCAATAAAAATTACTCTCAGAGTTGTACCAATACCAATATAGTTTAGATGAGAAAACTAAATATATATTATAATCCTTCTCTATCTTCATGTGTAGGTACCAAAATTTGACAAACTAATTGTGAATATTTCAGCTTGAAATGTGTTTCAGAGCTTATGCTTTTAAAATTTATTTACTTAATTTTACTTTTAAAGTATAAGCTATATGTGTAATTTCAAAAACTATTATATAAGGAAAATTTACTCAGTAAGCTTCAATTTCCTGTTAATTATCTGTGCTTCATTATTACTCATCTGCTGCATTTCTCATCTTACCTCCATTTCTTTTTTCAAAACAAACTTTTATTCAAGAAAAGGATTATTTGAAATATTTGCAAACAATTTGTGACATAACTGATTATATATTTTAAAAACTTTAAATTCATGCCAGAACAGGTACCAAGTTCTTAATAGCTGTTTTCTGTCTAAAAAACTTGTATTATTTCTTCACAGGAAGAAAAAATATACTAGGCTACTACTAAAATTTTGTATTATTTCTTCACAGGAAGAAAAAATATACTAGGCTACTACTAAAATTTTGTATTATTTCTTCACAGGAGGAAAAGATATGCAAGGCTGCTATTTATCTTTTATCTTATTTTTTTTCAAAATTGAAACAAGGTGTATACATAAACTCAAATAATCTGAGCATTTTAAAATTCAACCTTTATTTTCACTCAGACACCCTTAGGAATTTTAATTTGTCTGCTACTTTCTGAATTTTAATATCTGAACAGTTAACCCTTGTTTTTCTCTTTGTTTTCTTCAGTTGCTTGACAACCACAATAGTGCTTCAAGAGGGGAAGGGGCATCTTTGGCAGTGCCAGTAAGAGAAATTACTAGAACATCTTCTGAGGTACCAGTTTGGAGATCATCAGAGGGACCTGCTTGGGGACCCGAAGAACGACGACCTGTCAGACTTGAAAGGGGTTATGCTGTGAATCCTGCTACAGATCTTGCTGTGATGCCTGCTCAAGAATTGGCAATGATTCCTGCAAGGGGCCGTTCCATGAGCCCTGCAAGAGGATACCCTGAGAGATGTGGTAGAGAACGTGCCAAGAGTCTTCCAAGGGGATACACTAGGAGACAAGCAAGGCCAAGAACCGTGAGTCCTCCCAGGATGCATGCTGTGAGTTCTGCACAGGAAACTGCTCTGCAACAGGCACGAAGATTTCCCATGAGACGTGAAGAAGAATTTCTTCTGGGAGCTGCAATGGGACTTATTGTGAAATCAGCAGAAGGATATGATGAAGAAAATTTCAGAGCTGTCAGACAATCTACCCAGTAAGCTTCTTTCATGTTCTTTTACAATAACATTCCCAGTATATATTATATCTCTAAAATAAGGTTGGATTTTTCACAGACATTTATGACTATAAGTATAAAGATATAACCCCGCTGAGTCCATTTTTGTGCCTTTTGTGTATACAGTTTGAGGGGAGACTATTTTGGATTGGACAGGCAATTAGGGATCTCATCCCTGGGAGAGGCAATTTCTCCATCTATCAGCAGTCATCATTTGACTGTAGTTTCTTGTCTAGGGATAAGATTTTGAGATTTTTTTCCCTTTCCTTGTTAACATGCCTATTGATGCAATGTAAATATTTAACTGTTGGTAAAATTTCAAATGGAAAACAGGTGGCTGGGGAACATGCTAAAACAAGCTTTTCAAAATAATCAATCCATATTGACTTACCCTTCAGAACTTCATGGACATTAATTAAAACTTCACAAATGTTGATATTTTGGGTTAAATGGTAGTTGTCCACTGTGATAATGTTAAATAACTTGTGATTCACAAATCTTTGTGTCTTTTTTCCGTATTTTTATCTTTAATTTTTATGTTTTTATTATTTAATTAAAATATAATTTTATCATTTCTCCCTCTCATATCCTCCTTCTATCCCTACTGAGGCACACACATTTACTCTCACTCAAAACAATGGCCTATATTTATCTTTGTAATTGTTTTTTATACATATATACATATATTCCCATACAACAAACACAGACACACATATCATCTTTGTATGTATATTTTTTTCAGGACTGACTAGTTGTTATTGGACAACCAGTTGGTGTGCTTTCCTAGGGAAAATATTTCTTCTACTCTTGGCATTCCTAACTTACTCAAAGCCCCCATCAACTTTGGCATGTCTATTGTTGTTGCCCTTGTCCAACTCATGTTTAGGGAGAATTATTGTGAGGCTGTGTGGGTGTAGCTTCTGATATTCTAGGAGAAATAGTCTCACAGCAAGATCACTTACTCTCTGGCTCTTAGAATTTTTCTACTCCCTGTTGTACAATGTTCCTTGTGCCTTGGGTGTAAGAATGTTTTGTAGATCTGTCTATTCAGACTGGACTTGACAACTCTGCATTCTGATTGGCTGGGTTTTTCTGTAATGGTTTCTGTCTGTTGCAAAGAGTTGTTTCTTTGATGCGAGTTGAGGACCACAGTTACATATGGGTATAGGGACAGATACATAGAATGTAGTAAGAGATGATGCTCTTTTAGTAAAGTGGTGATTGTAGATTCTCCTCTAAGATCCATGACTTCACCAGCCACAGAAATTTGACCATCTTTCTAGTAACAGGCATGATTTTGCTCCTTTTGAGCTGCCCTTATATGTAAATCTGTCTTAAAGCAAAAGGTATACCTCATTACACTGCCATTCTTATTCACAAGTCAGCTTAGGTGAGATGTATTCAGGTCTGTCCTGCTTATTAGTAACATTGCAGGACCGAGACTAATGAAATTATCATCTCTTTAGGATACAACATTCTCATGACATATGCTTGGAGCTTAAGACACTAGGTTACACTATGTTTATAGCTTCTGCTCAGACTTCTACTCTCTTTTAACTAATTGAAGAAAAATCGCATGACCAAACCAAACAGACCAGAAAAGGATAGACTTGACTTACAAGGAAGGAAGAGAGGAATATTTGCTAGATCGTAAATTCTGCCACACTGGTCAGTCCTACTTCTATACAATGTCTACATATTAGCTATAAATATGACTTGATTTTCTCATTTCTTTATGAGGTTTTTCTATATTGTCTTACTTAGGGTTTCTGTTGCTGTGAAGAGACACCATGATCGTACCTACTCTTATAAAGGAAAAATATTTAATTGGGATGGCTTATATTTTGTGTGATTTAGTCCATTATCATCATAGTGTGGCATGGCTTCATGCTGGAACTGAGAGTCCTACATCTTGATAAGCAAGCAACATGAATTGATCTAACACCCTTGCTCCAATAAGACCATACATACTCCAACAAAAGCTACATCTTCTAGTAGTACCACTCTCTTTGGGGGCCATTTACTTTCAGACCACCACATATGTCATGTGTGAATATAGAAAGCAGTGTAAGAAATAATCTTTAGAAGCACATCATAATATACTTTTGGATGCAAGTGACAATGTTCTTACTTATTCAAATATCCGGAAATTTTTGTTAAATACAATTGAATACTTATGGATTGATGATTAAATATTTTTGTGAAATAACATCAGATATCTAGAGCAATAATATGTAGTTCAGTGGTCATTTCTAATTTTTTGATATTGATCCATTTTTAGTAAGTCCATTCTTTAATTTTACTCATATATATATAAACTTAGATTCATTATAAGTTATCTTAGAAACAAGTTCAAATGCATATGTCCCAAATAATTTCAGTATATATTCTCAAATATATTACTTTATTGTTTATTTGATTTATGTTATCAATTTTAATAAATACTTTTACTAGAGAATTATAAGATATTCCAGTATCATGAAAAATAATACATTTTAGTTCTTATATCTGCATGTAAACGTATGTGTATATATGCAAATAAATACATGTATAAATATATAACTTATCAAATTACTTGGATTTTCTATATTTTTTTTCTAAATTTGTCATTAGAAATTGACCATGAATGTATTTTGAGTATTGTTTCCAAGGTAATAATATTTTTCTATTTTCATAATATTTATCTATTGCCACTTGAACCTTTTGTAGGAAACAAAGGGTTAAATGTTCCAACTTTGAAACCATAAGAATATTCTATTGTAAACTTATATATAATATTTTATTGGTTATTTATGGATTACTTTTAGTGTGAATTTAAAACTTGCCTTTTTCTTGCCTTTAGGTTTGCTTCTGATGATGATCAAAATGAAAGTGGATCCTCAATCTTAATGGTAAAATTTACACAAATATCTGTACTGTTTTAAAGTAACATTTTTTTAACTAACATTCAAATTATATTTCAATGTCAAGTCATATAATTAATTTGATACTTTCTGTTAGATTGATACTATTTTTATAAATGTATAAAATATAATTCTATGCATAGATTGAATAAATTTGCAAGGATGCCCACAAAATTATCATCAATGGGCAAGAAGGAAAGAAACACAGTTTCACCACAGCTCACCATTTTGCATAATTCTTAACTTTGTCCTTTTAATCCCTTTATAACTTAAAAATAAACATTTCATATGAGAATGAATAATCAGAAACATGTGTATCATAGTCTCTGAAAATACAATGACTCAATTATATTTTCTCTTATTTTCCTAAAGAGAAAATAAATGCTAAAGATAAATCTTAGAGTCACAAAACATGACTAGACAAAGATCTGGGTTTACTTTTTTACCTGAGCCATCTCTTGGAGTAATTACTAGCACAAAGATGACTATAGAATGCCCATTACCTTTATGAAATATAAAAATAAATGACTGAAATGTTTTCAGACAAATTTAAATAATGAAACGATTGCCTTGCATGAAATGTACCAGTAATAATTTGTTAAATGAAAGAAAAAAATATCTAGAATTGTTAGTTTTTCATCAGCGTTTTAAAGAAATACACACAGTACATAATTTCATTTGTTTATTTTTTCATTAGATTGTTTTTATTTTTTTATAACCAAGTCCATTTAAATGAAAACAAACATTTATAGACAATATTTGGGAATTTGTGCGTCGTTCTTTCCAAACTACTTCCTGCTGGTAACGGGCGCTGTCATGGGGGATTCTAAGAAGATGCAGAAATCCTGTCTGTATTCTCTAAGGCTGCTTGGTCCAGCTGTTTTGAATGTAGGATCACCTGGTACTCTGTTTCAGGCGGTCTGGCATGATCAAACCACATTAGCCTGGAAGGAATCTACTGCTTTTCATTTTCTGTGGAAACAAAAATAGAAATCCTTTCCCCAGTAACTTGTCCTTGAACTTAAATTTTGGAGTCAAAACATTTTTATTTATCTATTTATTTTTATTTATTTTTAATTTATTATTTTACATGTCGATCCCAGTTCCCTCTCCCTCCCTCCCTCCCTTTTACCCTCTCTGCCCTCTCACATGCACTCTAACCACCCTCCCCTCCCATCCCCCACCACATTTCATTTGTTTATTCATTCATTATTTTAATTTTTAATTTGAATGTGGAGGTTTTTTTCAGTACTGGAGATTAAACAGAGTGCCTTGTGTGTGCTAATAAATCCTCTACTGCTGAACATCACCCTCAGCTAGGACAGCAATTTTCCTTTGCCTCAGTTGAACTAAACAGATCTACTTATTCATTCCCTGCTCTCACTCATTATGAGTAAGACTTTTCCCTCCTGGTCTGGTCCCACCATGGTTCCAGCCCCAATTAACACAGAGACTCTGTATTTGATATAATGCTGTTGGCCAGGTACTAGTTCCTTATTGGCTATCTCTGGATTAACTATTAACCCATTTCTATTAATCTAAGTATTTCCACATGGTCTCATCTTACCAGAGAGTAGGGCTGGCGGTTCTGCTCTCTCCAGTTTCTCCATGTTGACTCCTCCCTACTACTTCCTCTTTCCTCCTTGTCTCCTAGTCACGCCTATCTTGCTTTCCTATTGGCCAACAGTGCTTTATTCATTAACCAGTATGAGAAACATATTTACAGAATGACATCTTCCATCACTCACTCAGTGAAAACAAGCTTATGATAAGGAAAGCAGAAATTTGAATTTGATTAGGTGAATTGTACAGAGCACAATTTCATTCAAAAAATATCCAGTATAATTTCTTCCTTCCAAGAATACTTTAAATAAGAGTCTCAAGTTTTGGTTAGAATACAGGTCATTTTTAAAAAATGGATATGTTCTAGATTCATTGTAAGTTATTGGGTAGTACTGACATACAGTTAATTGAAGATTTCATTGCACTAATCTGAAAACTCAGAATTGATATCAAAGCTGGAAATTCCAACAACATTATATACATACATCTGACAATCCAAGGTGGGCTAAAACCTCAAAATCCACCACTGAATTAATTTTAATAATCTTATAATTATTAAGAAAGTTGAACTTTTAATTTTAAGCCTTACAAAAATAATTTTTAGTCCTATTGTTTAACTAAAATTTTCAAACCAAATGTCTAAAGGAGAATTATCACCAATTAAGAACAGTCTCAGAAAATAGAATAGGAAAAAGTACTTTTTTATTTATTCTTTGAAATTAGCCTTTCCTTGATACTAAATCATGCAAAACAATGTACAAGAGCAAAACTAAACTATAGACCAATATTCCTAGCAAAGGTAGGTGGACATAAATGCAAAAATATTTGACAAAACATAAGCAAATAGTGGCCCATGATATTTGCTCTAGAGATGCAATGTTAGATCAGTATTTGAAAATTGATCAAATAATCCAAACTTATACATATATTTATTAAATTATACAAAAATATGGCAATAAAATTATATTAAATGATGTTTTCTCATTAAAACATTTCCCATATTAAATGTTTTCCCATTATGATAAAAAATGAAGTATTTTCTTGTCAGTCTATCATAAAGTATTTGAATGGTAAGAGAAAACAGTGTAATAAATAAAACATCTAACTAATACAGAGACATACTGTATTTATAGATTATAAAGCTTAACACATGATATAAATTATTCCAAATTAATATAAGAATTCATATAAAACTTACATCAGCCATAAATTTTGGTATTTATAGAGAATATTTTCTAGATTATATAGAAAATCAGAGGAATCACAATAGCCAAATCAATTTTTATATAAATTTTTATCCATTTTTGAGAATTTCACAAAATATGTTTTGATTATATTCACCACCCTGACACCTCCTTTTCCATCCAACACTATCCCAACTCTCACCCCTTATCTTACCCTACTGTTTCCCTACACATCCGACTTTGTCCTCTTTTACAAAAAAGAAAAAGTACATTGATTATAATTATAGTTGGTAATGCCCATCATTGGTATGTGGCTTTCCAGCAGAGCTTGGTCAACCTACCAGGGGCCACAACCTTAACGAAAACTCACTTTCCCTCTCCATGTAGCTACCAGCTTCCAATAGGTCCTTAGATAGGAATAGGACTAGTGTTTACCATCATTCTCAATGCTAGGATTATTCTGGATTGAGCTTGTACAGATCTTGTAAGTGCCATCATCAATTTTGAATTAAAAAGAAGAAATTAGAAGAAATCAGCCTTCCTTTTTTCAAGGGAAATTACAAAGCTACACAAAGCAAGATTTCATAGCATTAATGTAAGGATGTACATATAAATAATAATAAAAGGAAATTCAGGGCCAGTGAGGTGGCTCATCAGGTTGCCTGTTGCCACACCTTATAACAGGAGATAATCCTGGGACCCATGTGGCAGAAGATAATCAATTCCCTTCACATTATTCTCGCGTGTGTAGTAGCATGCATTTCCTGAATAATGTGCACATACATAAATACAAAATGAATAAGTTAAATGTAGTAAGTTTTAAAAAATTTAAAATAATGACCGTATAAATACGTTCAAATGAATTCGGTGAAAACTGCAGTCTTTCAACAAATGATGATGGAGAAATTGAAAATATTTAGTAAAATTATAGGCCCAAATTATAGACCTTAACCTAAATATCACCACTTATATACAAATAACTCAAAATATACTGAAGTTTTCGATGTAAAACATAAAGAATTTAGGAAATGATTCTTAAGAGAAAATAGTTCGTTTTTAGAACTACGAAAACATTTTTAACGGACAATCCACATGTTGCATAAATTGGATTTGTTAATATCATAGACTGCTGTTTGATGAGGAAGATAGATTATGGCATATCTGGGACAAAATAATCACAATCCACAAATGAGACATATGGCAAGAATATAGAATATACAAAACATTATTAAAGTTAAACAAGTAAACTCAATCTATCGAATGAGAAAATTAGTACTATGCAAAGACTTTTGTAATCTTACAAACTAAGTATCCAATCACCATAAGACCCAGAAGTTATAACTTTGGGCCTTTTTTTCAGAAGAAATGAATATATATATATATATATATATATATACGTATATATATATACGTATATATATATATATATATATGTGTGTGTGTGTGTACACTAAAACTTGAGCTACTAGTATTAACAGATTTTTTAGTCATGACTAACAAAACCTGAAATAATCCAGATCTTTTGGTTCTTATAACGTTTCAGATAAATATTAATAGAATAGTACTAGATGTCCAAAGTTTAAATAACTAATACTACATTTACATAGTATTCCCAAGCAGATAAAAATTATAAAAAAGAAAAATACATTAGTCAGGAGTAGTAACAGAACAGGACAGAAATCAGATTGACTAGATTTGACTACAGAAGAGCAATTAGAAGAGAACCTTGTATTGACCACTTTCTTCTGTATCCAATGTTCCTCAGCCTTCCTAATGCTGTGACCTGTCAGAACCTGCTGACCTGTCCATTTTGTACCTGAGAATAGGAGTATGGATTGTGGAAAGAAATAGACAAGAGACAGAAGATAGAGTCAGAAGGGCATCCAGTGAATGGATCTGCCTTAAGTTTATTCCTCAAAGTTCTTATAAATCCCAACCAAAAGGACATTCTTACCAATGATACAGGGAACAAACCACACCTTAGAACAAACCTCCTGTTATTTGGCTTTGAGGATTAAGGCATCTAGTAACCACATCTTAGATCAGGCATTCTGTTATCTAGGCAAGGCATCCAGTGACCACACCTTAGGCCAAATATCCTTCAGGAGCCATACCTTAGAGCTTTACATCTTAGACTTTTAAACTTAAAAGAGCAAAGACAGGTTTGAACTCTCTGACCTTATGTCAATATGGAGTGGAGCCACTTCAGTGGGCCCCAACAGTGACCTTGTGTTACGGTGA